TGTGTGTGTGTGTGTGTGTGTGTGTGTGTGTATAAGAGATAAGCAGACAGAATGCAATGCCCCTTTCCTGAACAAAAGACATATTCTAAAGGTTTTAATGTTTGCAGATGCTATAGTTAGTATTTATTTCAGTACATCATTTGCTCACACATTTCTGGAACACCTTTAGACCTTTTAATGAATACTGAATTTTATGACAGTGTGTTGGGGTATGTGAATCACTGTTCCATCTCAGCTTTTCATTCAGTGGGTTGAAGGATATTCTGTTATCACTGATTTATAAAAGCTCCACAAAAATGTCACAAAGCATTGAAATATTTTTATAAAAGAGGAATTGTTTTGCCAATGGCCATGTTCCCATTTTTATTCATGCCTATGAAGTTCTGATTTTTACTTGCTGCTCTGGTTCATACCACGTAGTAATAGGAGGTCCTTGGTTCAGGGTACATTTGGATTGCTTAATAACAAAACTCAAAGGTCCTATCAGCAAATTCTCTATACTTGGTACTTACCTCAACAAAGATGAAAGTCATTGTAGCATAGGAGCATTTATTTTTACTTAGAGATAAGAAATGAAGATCAATGAAGATAAATGATCAGTGTTACTTCTAGCAGGAATCTAACCTCAGGTTTGAGGGCTACTTGTCCAGTGGGCTCTCCACCATAGCACACTGGTTCTCAAAACACAGCTGTCTGGCAGATGTACTCAGAAGCATGGACTAGTATACCAACCTGTTATTAAGCTGTTGAAGAATGTTTTGGATGTGGTAAGTAAAAAAGCAAAAATTGCCACAATGACTTGATGCAAGTAATTAGTTCTTGCTACAAATTCAATAAAGAGCATAGATAAGGAATTTGATAATACTGAGAAGGGAACATGGCTTAGAGTCAAATGCAGTGGTATTAGAAATCAAGAATCACTATTGTAGTTCTCAACACTTTAATGTTTTATAGAAAATATGAACAAGGGGGGAGGTACAGGATGATATTGATAAAATTCTAAAAGGGATAAAACAAAGAAGGTCTCAAGGAAGCCAGTTAGGGGAAGTTGTTCTCAGTTTCCATGTCTTAATAAGCTTAAAAATAATAGAAGGAAGCTCTTAAGACAGTAAAGGAATTATAAAGAGTCACACTGGGCAGGAAGGATATGTACAGGATTAGGAAAAAAATACTGAGTTTATGTAGTTCTGCAACTAATAAGCAAGATATCCCTAATCGTGTCACCTAACCTCTCAAGATTCATTTTCTATATATCTACAGCAAGTGAGTAAGATGTACTTTTATGGTTCTTTTCAATATTCAAGTAGAAAAATTAAGTGTTCCTATAAAACATGACATTTCTGACACTTACAGTTTGAAAGATGGATGGGATGCTAGAATAAGGAGCTAATGGTATAGTAACACCTGAGGAAAGTAGTCAAGAGCATTGGTAATTAATTGACTAAAATTGTAGACCTGTTTTGACTTGAGAGACTTTGAGCAAATAATTGAGTTTCTTTTCTGGCAGGGGATACCAGGGATTGAACTCAGGGGTGCTCAACCACTGAGCCACATCCCCAACTCTATTTTGTATTTTATGTAAAGACAGGGTCTCACTGAATTGCCTACCACCTCACTCTTGCTGAGGCTGGGTTTGAACTCTCAATTCCCCTGACTCAGTCTCCCAAGCTACAGGGATTACAGGTGCCTGGCTTAATATTTGAGTTTCTATAGGAAATATTTCTATTTTTTTTTTTGTATATGACAGGTTGACCAGATGATCTTTGAGTTTTCTATCAGCAGTATTTGTTATTCTCTTAGCTTTTTTTGTCTCAGCCAAATTACTCAAAAAAATAAACTGAATCATTAAATATGCATGGTCAGTACTTCTATGAAGTTTTGACAAGTATATACAGGAATGAGTCAACATAGAAGCACTTTTCAAGGGGTTAATTACAAAAAATCTTTATCTCATTTGAATGATAATTTTTCAGACTTTATAAAGACTGAAAAAAAAGTTTATAACTTTCGGTAGTTAATTTTTATTTTCCACACACTTTCCACTACTAAGAAAAGATGAAGGTATGGAGTAACTAGGGGAAAGGGTAACTCATATCTCCTGGGCAAATATGAATTAAACAATTATTAATGCTTGCATATTTAAGCATTTATGACACAAAACTATGAATAAACCAATATGTCATAAACTATGAGGAAACTATTAAAGAAAAAAACCCAATTGATTATTTATAATTTTCTTTGAAAATATAAGACACCAAACTTGAAAGGATCAAAAGTATTTTTTATTTGATAGAAACCTACAGATGACAGTTTAGATGACATATCTAAAGTGCTATTATTATAACTTAAATCAGATAAACCTTTATAATTATTATGCTGTTTACATTTAAATTGTTCATTTTAATTCTAATTTCAACAAAGTACACTACATTTTAATATATATCAGTTTTCACAATGAGAGTGAAATAAATGACAATGTAATATAGAAAACCTCTCAGAGAGAAAATGAGTTCCATATCCAAAAGTATCAACTCAGAAATTTACTTAAATATTATATCCATATCAAGATATTGTATCAGTCTTCATAGTACCTCTGTAAGATATGAGGTGATGTGATATATGAGGCTGTGTATCTTGATATCCCTATTTTACACAGAGAGACACAAACAGTCCATTTGGTGGTTTTTAAGGTCACATACTATGTCAGGATAGCAGTAGGAACAGAATTATCCTTGTATTTTTCTTATGAAGTTCAGTGCCTAACATAGCATAGAAAGAGTAACTGCTCAATATATAGTCATTGAAAGATAGCCATTCAATGGATAAACCATTCTGTTCTATAACACATAAGATGGCTATCATATTTTCTCCCATTCCTTTTCCTAGTAATTATAACAGGTAGAGGAACAGTTGAACAATAAACATTATCTACTGTCCTACTCATAAATGAACATCAGTATATGAAGGGGCTTTGAAAGATGGTACCATCTGGTCAGACCTGAAATTACACACTTCCAGGTCACCCCCTCCCCACAAAAAAAAAAGGATGCTATTAATCTGGTTTATTGTAATGTTGGCTTTTGTGGTGTATATTGGGTCTCCCATTACCTGGCCAAGACCAACTTCTTCCACAAAAGTCTGTGAAAATCCATTATTAATAATGAATGTATTACTAAGGATTTTTGTAAAACTGATCATACCTTGAGTCTCAACAACCTTAGTTGGTCGTAGTCCTTGAAAATAAATCACGTGACTATATAGGTTCTGGCTAGCTTAGACCTTGCAAAATCATTGTAACACCCGAAAGAATAACTCAAATTATTAATGAGTTACTTTGTCGTAAGTTCATTTGCAATTGTAAACATGATATTAGATTGCAGAGACATGACTTTCAGAGTTGATAGAAAAATGTCGTAAGAACCTGAGTATGTGTATCATTAGGAAGATGACAAAACCATAACAGTCATCTCCAGTGATACAATGTCAAGAAAGTTAAAAATCATCATCCATGTCATGAGCAATGATTACCTGAAAGCAAGTAAGATATCTCATGAAGACAACTATGGTTAAAATGTCTCCCTTAAACTTTGATGGCACTCATATTTTTTTCATTTTGAAAAAGAAAAGACAATTTCACCAAGATAATATATTTAAGTGAAATTAAATAATTTTGCATCTGTCACCCACATTTAATCATTGATCTAAAGTTTCATCCAGGTGACATTTTCATGAAGAAACAGTGTGGAGAAATCTGAAAATCCCCATTACATTTACTTATATTTCAAACAAATAACTCAGCAGACCTGCCTAATTGGAGGTATACATCTACTGGAGTAAATATCTTAATTGTAGTTCATGGTTAATCTTAGAGATAAGATTCACCAAGCATTTGTTATCTATCTTTTCATGTCTAAAGTTCAGAGACATTTTGAGCTCCAAGAATATCACTAGGAACTTGGAGCACTCTTTGGTGCAAGTGTTATCCATTCTAGAGCATTGACACTACTAAAATAGAAACAGATTGAACAGAATGAAACTATTCAGCATCATCTTATTAAGTAAAGTGAGCTTAGATATCCACATGACACAGAAGAGTCACTTTAAAATAAGCTTTTGTACCCTTTAAACTTAGAATGCAGTCTATATTTGAAAAATGAAAATCAAACTGAAATCAGGATTTTCATTTTGTAATTGCATCAATCACATTTAAAAGACCAGTATGAAGTAAACTTTATATTGATTTGTGTGCAACCTTCCAGTGAGTGGAAATAGAAAAATATAAGCATCTCCTACTCCAAAGCAACAAACAGTAATAACATATTCTTGATCACCAGACCCTTCAACATGTTTGCTTATTATTCAATCCCTTTGACTACCCTGTCTCTATACCAGGCAGAAGTGTAAAATGTTATTTAAAAAAAAAAAACTGGATTGCATGATTTCCATTGCCTGTGTCACTGTGAACAAAACAGAAGATCCCATTTTTATAATTTTAAAGCACTTATAAGGGTCATGTTTGTGTTTCTACTGTCCCTGTTACTTCTGTCCTGGAGAATTTGGTTTGCCAGGGTTCTCTCCAGGGCGTTGTGCAGGAGTGACAGGAAACTGAAATCCATAGCCATTGTACCCATCCAAGTAAACACACTGGAAGAAACTGATGGGACCTAAGGAAGAAAGCATGGTGGTCTGTTAAAACAAGCACAATTTATGAGCAGGAATAAAGCTAGATCACTGAGGTCATATGGCACTGTAGGTACAGTCTCAGGTTCCACAGTTGGATCACCCACACAGCTACTGGCAAGTAAACCTCTAATGAAACCTCTCTGTGTCTTGGAAACTTCATTTATAAAATCAAGACAACAAAAACCATATATAAAAGTGGAAATTAAATGCATCAGCATAGGTGAGATACTTAAAAATCCTTCCTGGTAAGGCCTTAGGAACTCATAATATAAATGGCTTGCACAAGAACATCAAAATACTTGGTGTATATTGATGTACATAGCCATCTAGGGACTGTTACCTAGGAACAGGTTTCAAAACATGATCTTATCAATATTCTAAATAATGTGTGTGTGTGTGTGTGTGTGTGTGCGTGTGTGTGTGGTGTGCGCATGTGTGTGTTATGTCACAGAGAGAGTGGTCCTGAAATTTTCATTAGTTTTCATTTTAAAAAGAGCTCTCCTGAGGCAGCTTATTATTCTTTTAGGAAATGCTCCCAGGTAGCAGCTCTGAGGAGAAAGCAACACAGGAAAATTAAAGATGAGCAGGGGTGAATAGTACAGTGGATTCAGTGTGAGCTCTGCACTCATCCTCAATTCCCAGGAACAGCTTTGTTAAAAGATGGAGAGCTAATTCTCTCCTTACTATCCTGAGCACCTACTGATGCTCGCTCCACTGTTTTGCATCCTATCCATTTGCATTCTTCTAAACAATCACTTTTTTGCAGACTTTTTACAGAGGGCCAGTAAAAGAAGAAAACAAAGTTAGTGATCATGTGAGACTTAGGAGAGGTAGACAAATCTATATGAGACTTAGGCTTATGAAACCGGAAAAGCCAAGCATGGGTAGAAGGCAGCTGAGAGAAGCAGCAAGGATTATTCTGACTCCATCAGTGAAGCAGTGACCTCAGTCACTTGGTTTTCAGGAATGAAATTAGTTTGGAGAAAATTTATGTTTAGTTTTTCTTCTGTCCACAACATCTGATCTAGGATTATTTTCTGTTTTATTCTAGCATCAAACAGAGGAAGTAACACATCTCTCATCTTCCCCAGGTGTGGAGGTTATGAGATTTGGGGGGTTGGACAGGCCAGAGAGGGATGGAGACATTTATCCACTTCAGATAAATGTAGGCACTGTCCTGACCTGTTTACTTAATGGACATGGAAAAAGCTAATAATGAAAATATCATTATGGTTGCAAATTTAGAGCTTATATAAAAGGCTCATGAATGCCAAGCTATATAGAAAAACTTCATAGTGAAAAAAAATAGGAAGTATTATTTTTTATGTAATAAGGTCCCCAAGTGAGCTTAGAATATTTGATAGCTATTTACTAAAAATATTTTTTAATTTTTAATTAAAATTTTTATTTTGGGAAAATATTAGATGCATAAGCAAAATATAATACCGAGACATACTATTTGCTTGCCTAGTTTCTACAAAAGGCAGTATATTGCAAAACTGTATTATAATATCCCAACCAGAAAATTGGCATTGACATAATCCCCCTATTCCTGTTCAATTATGTTTTAATATTCATTAATGAAATAAGAGATTTCAAGTGTCTATGTTACATAGCTGTAACTTATCACTAGTTATCAATTGGAAAAGTGTTTGCTGTATACATTGGAAACATGCAGATTGAGATATAATTCCTTTTCTTATGGAATTTTTAATAATACCCAAAACTATCATAAGACTATTTTTCTATATTTCTTACAACTTAATTATATGAAGTTTTATAATTGATATCTTTCTTATCTGTTGCAGTAGTCTCAGCAATTAAAGCAATATTTGGAATATAGTAGACACTCAATAGTTTTTTGGTGAATAAACTATTAATGCAGAGTAAGAAGCATTTATTGTTATAAAACATATCTTAGTAATTTCCTCCAGAAATACATATAAGAGGCAATAAAGAACTCAATGACATCATTTTCTCAGATAATGTCTATTTCTTTACTTTTAAAGCATTATGTGAGTCAAACTTCAGTTATATCCATTTCTAAAATTGCTTCATCTAGTCTGCCGGTGGTGATTTTATTTAATACATATGTAGATTCAAAACTTACACCATTTTACTTTCAGAACAAAATGTCTAATTTGGAGGTACTTGGATAATAAGAATCCCAGGAACTGAACACTGAATTTTGCAACTGCATATGAATGTTGATAGAATTCTAAAATCAAGAATCCCAAAAACTGAATGTTAAGATCCTGCCATATATCTTTAAAAAAATCAATAAGAACCTTAAGTCTTAGAAGTGAATTTCCCAGCAATTGAATTGTTAAAACCTATTTCTACATTTCTTCTACTTGATATAAAAAAGTTCAGCATATCACTTCAACTGATCTATTATACAGCAGACAGTAACACACATTTAGCAGGATTCAGCCAGAGTACTCAGGATCAGAACAGTGTAGAATGGCTGGCTATAAATGCCACTTCGATCATTATTCGTAATTCTCCCAACTATGTGCCTCTTGCCTGACACACACACAAAAATGACAAACTTCACTTTGAAATATAAATGACCTACTTTAATGTTATCCTTCATATCTGTGCTAAAAATCTTTTTATTCTAATACTGTTCACTTTGAAAGGGTCTAAAACTTAAATTTATACATAGCATCTTTCACGTAGAATGACTTTATCATTGAAACCTAATTATAAACTCACTTTTTTGCTTCTTTGGGGAAGACACGTCTTCAGTTTCTATAAGATACAAAAATGTGAAAGTAAATATTAGCACATTTACAGATATTGTTTATGAGAATAAATATCCTGAGAATGTCTACACAATATGAAAGAAACAGGACCTACTTTTCCTCTTTATAGTACACTCTAGGATTTTATTCAGGTTATATTCAGACTTTCCTTGTGACATTTAATGGGCAAGAGCCAGAGTTGGGAGGACAACCAATGGAAGAGGAAGCAGCAGGCTAGGTCAATTTCTCAAATAGAAAATTGGCCCCAATATGTAGGACATTTAGGGATGACAATAATTTGTTTCTTGTGAAGAGGTCTTTGATGCTCAGACTTATAATATGGTAAGGGTGGGATCTGGCTCTAGAAACTTCCATCTTTTCAAATGTTAATCATTTTTATTTGTTGGTAATTTCTTATTCTTTCAGTCATTTTGAAATATAACCTACATTATTTTAACCACTATTTACCCTACTGCGTTATAGAAAATCAAAACTAATTCTTCTTTGCTAAAGGTGCTCAGTCCCCTTATATAACTTCTTATATCCACCCTCCCACACTCCTATACGTCCCAGTCTCTAGTGACTACAATTCCACTCTGTTCTTGTGTAAGAGTGAATATTTAGTTTCTATCAATGATGAGTGAGAACATTTGGTTTTCCTGTGTCTAGTTAATATCACTTAACATCATAACTTCCAATTCAATTCACATTGCTACAAATGACAGGATTTCACTCCTCTTCATGGTTAAGAAATATTCCATTGTGTTTATGTACCGTATTTTTTTTATTAATTCATCTGCTAATTGGCATCTAGGTTTATTCCCTACTTCAGCTATTATTAATAGTGCAGCAATAGATAAGGGAGTGCAAGTAATATTTTGGTATAATGATTTAATGCCCTTTGGATATATTCAAGCAGTTGGATTGTTAGAACATATGGTAGTTCTATTATTAGTTTTTAAAGCAATCTCCATAACATAGGGCATTGCTGTGTTAATTTACATTTCCATCAACAAGAGTTCATGAATTCCTCAGGAAAGTGTCTTAAAACAAGTGAAAAATCTCAGCTTTCATTTCTTAACACTTAGGTACCAATTTATTTCCTTGTGCATTTCTCAACACAGAACTTTCCACATAGTTAAGTCTGGGCATTGCTACAGCACTTATACTTTGATGGGCAGAAGAGCACTTAAGCAAACTCTCATTGTCCACAGAAAATGTTGGAAGTAAAATAGAAAGTACTCATTTTATGTCAAGTCTAAACTAGGAAGTGAGGAAACCTTCAGAAAACAATAAAAACTCATCAAGTTTGCTCAAACCCTCACTTCTCAGATGGAGACATTTTGTTCTAGAAAGATCTGATTAAGACTTTTCTTCTGGAAATGGCCAGTTTTTCAGTGTGCCTGTCCTCTGGTTTAGAGGGTTTGAATCCTGCCTTCCTTTCCTATCCTTTTCTTTCCTTCTTCATCTTTATTTTTTCTCTCCTCCTTCCCTTCCATCCTTTAAAATAGTACTACAGTAGAGATGACATCTCAAATTTTCTTAGTAAAAAGTCATCCTTGATGAAATAGTCATTTTGTACTCCTTTATGAAAGGAAAACTGTGAAGGAATGCTCTCCTAGGTTAGTCAATAAATACATCTGATACTTAGTTGTAAAGAAGTTCCTTCGATTTGCAAGAAGACATATTTCCTAAATAATATTTAAAATCTTTTTATTAAACATTTTTTCTACCATGTAAATGTTGCCTAGAAAAGCTGAGAACTAGATCAAGAATATTTAAATAAAACAATACAGGCAAAACATCTCAGCCTTGAGAGAAATTGTGCAAATGAACTAACCATAACAACCTCACCTTTAACTGTCTTTGGAGCCGGTACATCTTCAAAATCTTCTCCTACAATGTAGGGCAAGGACACATGAATTAGTTAATTTTTTTTAGTTTTCCCTAAGAGGAAATATTGTATTTAAAGGTTTTAAAGATTCACAAGATCTCCTAATCTATAAACTCGGTATCAGGTGAGCTTTCTGACAGGAAAGCGCTTCTCCAGCTTGGAGTTAGGATGGAGGAAAGTGCTGCTGTGCCCCACCATGGTCACAGGTTGGCCAAAGTCAGTCAGGGGAAGGGTCTGCACAACACCTCCCCTCCAAGCCATCGTGAACCTGTGTCTCCTCCTCTGACTTTTAAAAGTCCTTTTACAAACAATAACTTCATCTGAAATTTAGGAAACTTGAAGCAAATGGATTCATATACACAGTATAGATCAAGAGAAAAAAACATAACCACCCACATCATTTCATGATTTATTAGCAGATTGATTAGGGCATATTAACTCTTTTGACAATTTTACAAAGCCCTTAAATGAACGCATGCACAGGCTTTGTTCAACTAATCTTCAGCAACCATTCCAAGAATGCACAATTGGGAAAGCAGGGTTTCTTCAATAAATGGTGTCAGAAAAACTGGATATCACATCAAAAGAATGAGATTGGACCATTATCTAATAACATACACAAACATCAACTTGAAAGAAATTAAATACTAGAATTGAAGTCTCAATACCATAAAAATCCTAGGAGAAAACCAGGAGAAAGATCCTTAAAGGTGACCTTAGAAATGATTTTATGGAGATAACAAGAGCAGTGCATGCAACAAGGGCAAATATAAACAAGTGTGGGATTATGTCAAACTACGAAGCTTCTGAACAGCACTGGGCACAGTGTTGCACATAAATAATCCCAATGGCTAAGGAGGCTGAGGCAGGAGAATCACAAGTTCAATGCCAGCCTCAGCAATTTACCAAGGCCCTGAGTAACTTAACAAGACCCTGTCTCAAATAAATAAATAAATAAACAAACCAAACAAACAAATAAATAAATAAATAGTTCTGGGGATGTGGCTCAGGGGTAAAGTGTCCCTGAGTTCAATCCTCACTTTCCTCCCACCCTCCAGAAAAGGAACACCAAAAGGATCAATCAACAAACTAGAAAGGCAACCTATGGAATGGGAAAAAAGTATCTGCTTAACTATGCATCTCATTTGAGACTAAATCCAAAATATATAAGGAAACCATATACATTAATAGATAAAAATAATTAAAAATTTTCAGCAATGACAGAAAAATGGGTAAACAGGTGCAAAAAATGTATTCAATATCTCTATTATAAAAATGAAATCAAAATCATGATATTATATTACCCCTGAAGGAACATAATTATCAAAAGGCAAATAATAACAAGTGTTGGCAGGGATTTGGACAAAAGTGAGCTCTTTTGTGATGAGAATATAAATTACTGGAGTCATTATGTGAAACAGCATGAGGATTTCTGAAAAAATAAAAATATAGCTACCATACAATCCAGCAATCACTTTTATGGGTATATGTTCAAACACACATCTGTATTTTATACTTTAAATATTCTAAGACACACACAAATAATAACTACATGTACTGATAGATAAGTTTATGACTTTGATTTTCATAATCATGTCATAAGGCATATGCACATCAAAACATCCACATTGTACACCTTAAAGATATGTATGTTTTTGCTTGCAATTATACCTATAGAAAAATGAAGAAAAAAAGGAATCAAATTTGAATGAAAGCTCAAATACATAAATGATGTCTCAAGTTTCATTATGAAAATCACTTGGTCTTTTCTGCATTGAACTTATAGACAGACACCCATTGGAATAATGTGGAAGCAATCTTAAGACAGAGATAATTCTAACACACTGTAATTGAGTAATCTTTCAATTTTCATCACAAATTTTGGTACTTATAATTATGTGAAAGTGTGTTAGCTTTGTATTATTAATTTAGGTTCGGCATACCAGCTGTTCACTAATAAGTAGAAAAAAGATAAAATAGGTCATTATGCAAATTTTCTCTAATAGGAAGGAAATATGACTTTATGGAAAGAAATGTGATTATGCAAAATAACAAAATGGCTAGATTTTTTTTTACAATAGATTACTAAAGTTTTGATTTGATCAATTTAAAGAATGTTTAAATACTGACTTAATTCAATTAAATACTAGATGAAAAAACTATGGTTTACCCTGTTCAGCCAACAGCTATAATGGTTATGTGATGTTTCAAAATAATATAGTATCTATATTTAAAATAATATATGAATACCTAAATTAAAAATAATTTTAATTTCAGATAGTAAAAATCTGCTTCTTATTTCTATGGAAGATCTATACAAAAGTAAAGCTTATCCACAGGAGCATACATTTTATTTTTGTAGATTATAACACACCTAAAACCAATACAGTTATTCTCTGGATTCACTTGCTCTCCTTAGAGAAATAAATATGAATAAAATAAAAATCTGGGTCCTTAGAATTCTGTATTCTGACAAGGAGTCAGCTGGCTTTAGGGGAAGAACTGAGTCATGTGTGAATTCTGCAGGATAGTTGGAAAGAAGGTAAGAAGCACAAAAAGCTAAATTGCAAGCCTGGGCTAATTGCTTTGCAGATGTAGCCCCTGTGTAAGCAAAAAAGCAGCAGCAAAAAATTTACTCAACTAGGAAAAGTCACTTCAATGGTCACTACTCAAAATTGAAAAACTGAATAAAGCACTTACAGTCCAATTACATTTACATGTTGCACATTTATTGAGGAGTGGTTATGATAAAACAAGTATTTGGCTCTGAGGAGGTACAAGCATAACACCAAGAAGTATCAAGATATGCCCATGGAATTAAAGAGCAATGTGTTTTTGGTGAGGGACAGTCAAGAAGATGATGTCTGAATAAATTCAAATTTGAAATGCGCTTTAAAATACTCTGACAAAGGAGGTGATAAGTTTAAAGAGAAGACAACAATCTGGAGTGACTAGAGATAGCAAAGGACTGAAGATATTCAGGAAGCATGGGATGTGTTCTGGAAAGGATGTAAAGATTATAATTAGAAAGGTCTTATATGCCAGCCTGAGTAGTCTCAGTGGAATTTCTTAGCCAGTGAAGGTTGTTCAGGAGACAAAAAATATTTTAGATGTATTTTTTTTAAATGAGACTAGAACATTAGAGAATGGATTCAGAGGGGGGAAAAAAGCTTAAACTGTTTTTATAGTCAACATAGAAACAGTATTTCTGCAAGTAGGTATCACCAAAGGCAATGAATATAAATGAAGCTTTCCAAGAAGAATAAAATTATTAAATGCAAGTGAGTATGAAACATTGGCTAAGTGAGAGATATTAGAATATGCTGTTTGAGTTGAGGAAGAATATATCCCCAGTCATAAGGCAACCCCAAGGAAGTATAGATCTCCTGAGGATTACAAAAAGCTCAGTTTTCTATGGACTGAGTTAGTGTGCTGGGCCAGCAATGCAAACACAGACCAAATTTTCATCATGTCAGATTAGGCCCCGACATCCTTAACAAGACTCCTAAAGCACAAGAAACAAAATCAAGAATTTTTTTTAAAGAATTGGAAATTCAGAATTAAGATTCCCCACTGAATCTAAATTCCCTTTTCTTATATACACATTCATCATATCTTCACATAATTACCAGTACTTAGTGAAACATGACATAAAAATATAACTCTGGATAGAACAAAGATTTTACAATAGCAATTAAAATTATTTCACAAGGTGTTATGTATTCATTTTATTTCAGAAATTTATAGTAATTAAAGTAGTAAACAAAGCACTGTAATAATAAGTAGTCATATGAGCCACAAAGCTTCCCCACTGTATATTTTATAACCCTAAAAAACTTGGGGGATTTTTTTGAGATACCAATTTAAATTAAAATAGTATTTATCAGAAAAAGAAATGAAAATGATGAAGACTGATTTTGTACCATATTTTGGCATTAGTATGCAAAAACATCCACTCAAAATTTTGAAAAACATATCTCTCTTTAAATTTTTTTTTAGATGACATTAAAGAATAATTGGGTTTTATTTTGTAAGGTATGATAATGTTACTGTGAATATCTTTTTTTTATTGGTTGTTCAAAACATTACAAAGCTTATGACATATCATCATTCATACATTTGATTCAAGTGGGTTATGAACTCCCATTTTTACCCCAAATACAAGTTGCAGAATCACATCGTTTACACATCCACATTTTTACATAATATTAATAAATAGAATGGACTCAAAATAAAAAGCTTCTTCTCAGCAAAGGAAATAATCAATGAGGTAAACAGAAACCCTACATTTTGGGAAAAAAATTTTTGCCACACACATGCCAGATAGAGCACTAATCTCCAGCATATAAAAAGAATTCATAAAACTTAACACTACAAGAACAAACAACCCAATCAATAAATGGGTTAAGGAGCTGAACAGACATTTTTCAGAAGAAGATATATATCAACAAATATATGAAAAAATGTTGAACAATCTAGTAATTGGAGAAATGAAAATCAAAACTAAGTTTGCATTTCACGCCAGTCAGAATGGTGGTTATCAAGAATACAGCCAACAATAAATGTTGGCCAGGACGTGGTGAAAAATGCACACTCATACATTGCTGGTGGGACTGCAAATTGGTGCAACCAATCTGAAAAGCAGTATGGAGATTCCTTAGAAAACTTGGAATGGAACCACCATTTGAGCCAGTTATCCCACTCCTCAGTCTATACCAAAGGATTTAAAATTCACACACTATAGTAATGCAGCCACATCAATGTTCAGCAGCTCAATTCACAATAATAAACTGTGGAAGCAACCTAAATGCCCCACAAAAGATGAATGGATAAAGAAATTTGTATGTATAGACAATAAAATATTATTCAGCATTTAAAGAAAATAAAATTATGGCATTTTCAGGTAAATGGATGGAGGTGGAGAATATCATGGTAAGAGAAGTAAGCCAATCCCCAAAACAACAAAGGCCGAATGTTCTCTCTGATAAGTGGATGCTGATCC